GGAGAGTACGCCACTTGGAGAAAGTGTACAGCGACACAGAAGGAGAGCTGAACCCTGGGGAAAATGGAAAGGTTGAGAGTGGAGAACTTAAAAGGAAGGGAATCTAGAGAGCATCATGTCACAGAAGTTTCCGGGTCAATATAGACATGGGTATTTGTACAACATAGAGGTCAATGTCACTCTCTCTTAAATCACTGTCACCCTCTCCACAGCAACCCAGTGCACTCCCTCAGGATAGCTGCCTGGAGCAGAGCTCAGGGATCTGTGTGGTGTACTTGGAGGCTGCCATGTACAGGAAATAGAGCTGTGTCTTCAGCCTCTGCAGACGGTCTTAGTGAAGTCCTTAGTGAGTGCGGAGAGAGGGCACACATGAATGAAGACACAGGCTTGAGCTCTGCTTCTGCCTCTATTTTAGTTATGAATCCAGAGTCTCTCTCTCTCTCTCCCTCTCTCTCCCTCCCTCTCTCTCTCTCTCCCTCCCTCTCTCTCCCTCCCTCTCTCCCTCTCTCTCTCCCTCCCTCTCTCTCTCTCTCTCCCTCCCTCTCTCTCTCTCTCTCTCCCTCTCTCTCTCCCCCCTCTCTCTCTCTCCCTTTCCCTCTCCTTCTCCCTCTCCCCTTCTCCTCTCCTCTCCTCTCCTAGGGGTAGGGTATGGTTGGGTGGGACTCACCAGTGAGATGAGATTAAATAGTATACCTTGATCTTAGGGGCACTCACAGAAGTTAACACCTGAGACTGTTGTATCAAAGGCCTCTCACTTTACAAATGAAGAGTTAGTATAGAAACGAGGTGAAACTCAGCCAGTTACTACACTCCAGCAAACAGAAGAAACATAGATGCCACCTGGGCTCTTGGATAGGAAAAGAATTTTATCCTACAGTGTAGAGAGAAACTACAACTTGGTAAACAGCTTTGTACTTTCAAGGGGCCCTGGCACTTTCATTCCATGGGCGATTTCAGGCCCTTGATTTGCTGTCTGAATTCTATCAGAATCAAGGATTAAGACATCTTTTGGCAGACCTTTTCTAACATGTCACTTTAATTACTTTTGACATTTTATTTGGTTTTCTTTCATTAGTGGAACAGTCAGAGTCTTGAGATTACAAACTCTCTGGAGGCTCCTCAGGGAGAATTCCTAACACTGAGGTTGCGGTCTAGGTCCTTTCCTGGAAGCTGGGCTCTGATCACAGTCCACATCCCAGGTATAGCAGAGACTCTCCAAGCCTCCCTCTGGAGACTCCCAGCTCTGCAAGTTTTGAGGAGGAGCTGACCAGCCCAGGTTCTGACTCTGTGTTTTGTCAATGACATTGACTTTCCTCCAAGCCAGCAACTGGGTCCCAGGGGCAGCTGATATGGCTAAGTTCAGAGAGCCAACACAGGATTAAATCTTCCAGTCCTCTATAATTAATTTCTAAATATCTTTTATATGTAAGAAAGTCTATTTTAAACTATCATAACCTTTTAAAGGAAAACATAAAAATTCGCAAGCCTACCAACCTTCTTTCGCTATGAGGAAGGGAGAGGTACTGCTCTGTGGATAGAGGTCTGAGAGCCACCTTTCTTGTCTGAGAGTTGAATGAGATAAGTACCCACTTGGCTGTTTTCAGGGACTAGCCTAGCAAATGAGTACAGGTCAGCCTCTGAACACTATACCTCCTGGATGACCTTCTCTGATCTCTGAAAACACCTCAGAAAGCAGAGGATATGGGAGGTAGGGAGAACAGAGGGGACCCTCAAAGCTGGGTCAGAGAGCCCCTATTGCTCTGGGTTACTTGACAAAGCAGTGAGCTCCTTTGTGTCTAGTTCCCTGTATCTCTCCCTGCACGTCAGACTATCCAGCTATGAGCATCAGATCAGATGCCGCCTTTACATCTGCTGGGGACTGGAAGGGCTGGGGTGGGGAGGGAGGCTGGGGAGAGGGCTCCCTATTTAGAAATTGCACGGAGATGGGAAGATGATATGACACATCAGTTCATGTCAAAGGAGCTCACTCTTCCCGCCTACAGCATTAGCGATTTCTTACCAAGGTTCAAAAAAAAATGTGGCCCTCATTTATTTTATTTGTAGCATAATTCAACAAGACACCACTGCTCTGAGTAGGGTGGGTGGTCACCCCAAGGGCAGAGAGTGGGGGTGGGAGTGGGGAATGCACACTTTGGCTGTCTAGAGAGAGGATGTCAAGGGCATGGGAGTGGGAGACCTTTGGTTTCTGTTTCAGATCTCTCATTCTGTCTCATACCCCCTTTCTAGCCCCATGCTGTACTTCTGAGCAGCCTGGTCGGGGGACCCCAGATTCAGACAGTTCTGGCCATAGCTATAAGAGGGCCAATGGGAGGGGAGAAGCTAAAGGTGAGCTGGGCACTTGGAAAGTCATCCTCTGCTTCTAGCCTTGAAGAGGCCCTGCTTCTCAAGGACACTGAAGTCCAGACAGGGGCTGTGACTGTCCCAGGCTTCCTACTACCCTGTCTGATGTCCCTGTCTGGCATTTGGCCATATTTTCCATGCTTCCCCCCTCTCTTCCCCACATTTAAAGCTGCACGCAGCATAGTCATTCTCTGCAGGGTTGAATCTCCAATTCCACTTCTTTCCACCATTTCCTCCCTGGCATTTGGGTGATACCCTGGGAGTCCGAATTTGTTTCTTCCTGTGAGAAGACTTTTAGATGTGTTTGGAGATTTGGGGAATGGTTTGAGAGACACAGGAGGAAGTTTTCTTCTGTTTTGGTACTGGCTATTCACCACAGGAGCATCAGCAGCCGATGGTGAGGCAGGAAGAGAACAGCTAGGGTGACGCTCGTCACAGTGTAAGAAAAAATCATTTTAGTGTCACTTTCTGAACGTGTGCTTTCATCGGTGTCTGACTAGGTTTCTCCATGTCTCCTACACCCACATTCTCTGTGCCCATCTCCTCTATCTCAGTGTCTCTGTCTGTTTCGTGCAGTTATGCTGGCACTAGGAGCCTGGAGCTCAGCCTCTTCCTGCAGCCCTGTCAGGGCAGAACCTCTTTTGCTCTGTTAGGTTGAGAAATGCCAGAGATGCAGAGCTGCCTGCCGAGTGTGGAGGCTGGATCTGGGAACAATGAGAAATTATCTGTTAATTCTCAGCTCCTGCCACCTGCTCTGCTCCGAACAGGCTCCTTTGCCTTTAGTTCAGGGCAAATTCCTCCACTCAGCATAAGCAAAATATTGATTTCCCTGCCTTACAGACCTGGGCCATAGAAAGGTGGTCCTGTGTTTTTTGTTTTGTTTTGTTTTTTTATTGTCTGCAAAGGCAAAACAAGGCGCTTTGTTCTGTGAATGTCCCCAGCAACTCAAAAGGGAGAAGGAGAAATTGATGCGGAGAGTTGCCATAAACACCAACAGACAGCAGCTCTCCATTTGTGTTTTACATAAACACAAAACCCCCGCTTAGGAAGCTGCTAATGAACGTGTAGCCTGGGGCCTCAGAACTCCGCTCTCTCCTGGGGGCTGAGGTTTGCATTGGAGGTGGTGGGGAGTATGACAGGGAGTCTTGGGTTCCTCAGGTAAGTTAGAAGGCAAGTGGAGAGGCAGAAGCTTACCTGTTGTTGGAACAGCAACCCAGCACCACCGGCTGGAAGGTGGTCCGGGTTGCACAGGGTTCAAGGATCAAGCTTCCTCGGTCCCTCCTGCCTGAAATCCTGCATCTCTTTATGGCAGACTCCAGGGACTCGGGTGGAAGCTGAGAACCGGCTATAGTCAATTGCCCCTCCCCACTATTCCCTAATACATTGCACACAGGCAGGTTGTACCAACAGAACCTTCAGCACCACGGACAGGGCCTAATTTCCTTGCTATGCCCGGCCCTCGCTGACCGGGGTTTGCAATTGTAGTGGCCTGTGATGAGGCTGGTGCAGATGGTGCACGATGGGGATCGCCTGGAGTTGGCGCTCCGAATCTCCTCCCTCCGGAACCTGAGTCACAGCCTAAGCTACTTCCAATTAGCGTGTTAATTCGGAGGAAAGACCCTCCTCCCCGACCACTCTCCGTTGCACACTAGCCCCGTAGTTGAAGGTGCAGGAGCTCCAGCTAAAGTTTCTTTCCAAGATGCCACCTCGAGAAGGTGACACATTGGTGATAGGTGGAGGACAGGAATCTACCGTGATAGGACCTTACCGGGCTCGGTCCCCTGGCAGTTAGCAATAGCTCCTAGATTTCTAGGGTTGAGTGAAGCATCCCAGTCATCCTGCTTCTGAGTCTCACTTCACGGTTCCCGAGAAGAGCTCTTTCTACAGTCTAGCCTCCTATTAAGTTTTCTGTCTTTCTGGTCCTTGTTATGTATGCTTCATAAACAAATATACTATTTCTGGTGGGTTTGGTCTGATGCGTGGAGGTGGGTCTGGTAGGAACCGAACCCCTTCCTGAAATGCTCCCCATTCCTATTCGCCAGAAACTTTCTTCTCCCGTTGCCATGGAGAGAGACGGCCGCTGCCTCCGTCTCCATAGCAACGTGCTGGTGCCTCGGACCATAAGATTGCGGGGCTCAGAAAGTCTTAGCAGTTCCCCTCGCTCCGCAGTCTTGGGGTCTTCTATCTCCGAAGCTGAGACTCCGCAAGTCTGGCTAACAACCTTGGCAGGGTCCTTCCACTGTACAGTCAGGCTATCCCTTTCTATGCTGCGTTGTTGCGATGCCCACTTGTGTGACATATGGCAATTTCCCCAGCGTTTTCACAAGTACTACCTATATTCTCAGGGAGCTCATGAAGTACCAGTAATCATTACACCTCTCTTACGAAAAGGAAAACTGAGTCTCAGAAAGGCCCAAGGTCACATCCGCAGTGATTGCTCAGCTGGCCTTGAATCCTGCACTGTGTGGGACAGCGGGGTTGAAACCTTCCCGGACTCAGGCAGGTCCCTGCGAGTGGAGGGGGCGGCCGAGAGGCGCCAGACTTGCCAGCTGCCGCGGGATGCCACGTGAGGGGCGGGGACCCTGCGGGGAAGTGATTAAAAGCAGAGCCGAGCCGCAGGGGGCCGCTACGGGGAGGGTCTCCTTGGGGCCGCCTTGCCCCGCCCCAGTCCGGCCGTGGTGTGGGGTTCGAACCACTGCTCCTCAGACCTGAGTGTACGGGGCATGAGCGGGGCTTGGGGGGCCGGAGGGCCTCGGTGCCAGGCGGCGCTCGCGGTCCTGGCCTCTCTGTGCCGGGCCCGGCCGCCCCCTCTCGGGCTGGACGTGGAGACTTGTCGGAGCTTCGAGCTGCAGCCCCCGGAGCAGAGTCCGAGCGCGGCTGACTCAGGTACCAGGAGACCCAGAGCCCCTTCCATTCCTAGATTTCACCCTGGTGGCCTTGCCTCCCCAAGGCACCGGCCCAAGAACCCCAGAACCTCAGAAGTCTAGCTTGGGGTACCAGACTGGGCCAGTCGGATGGCTCACCGCCCGCAGGAAGAGATCCGAAGGGGACCCGGGAGGAGAACCCCTTTTCCCCTCACTAATGCAAGAGCTCCGAGATGCGGCACCCATGCGACCTCAGTTTCCCTTGTGTCTCTAGGCTCACCCTAGGGCCGATCGGCCAGAGCCGTGGAGAGGGAGACATCCTGGCTGCGGAGGAAAACCTGAGTCCCCCAGGGGTTCCAAAGTCCAGGGCCCTTCAGTGACTGGGTGAAGGCGGGTCGAGCCCCTAGGCTTGGGGAAAACTTGCGTCTGCAGCTGGCACGCGGTCTTTGTGTCCAGGTCTTTCAGCAGCCAGTGGCTGTCTGCGTCTCGCCTGGGGGTTGGGGGCGGGGTGTCGTACCCCCCCCCGGCACCCCTATAACTCGCTCCCTCGGTCTCTCTGACTCACTCGGACTCCGGGCGGGTGCGCAACTGAGCCGGTGCCTCTCGCCGACTTTGCCAGGCGGGAACCTCCTGCCCAGGAGGTGCGGACCCTGTGCTGGACGCAGTCCCGGCAGCCGCCGAGTCTAGGGGGCAGCCTGAGCCAAGTCGAGCTCACCCACCGGAGCCGGTGAGTCCCGACCACAAGCCCTTTGGGGAGGGTCCCGCGTGCAGCCGCGACGTCTCGCGGGAGTCGCGACAACAGGGGTGGCGTGTCGCGCCCTGGCGGCGGGAGCCGCGGGAGTGTCCGCGGCGTGGCAGCCGACCGGCCCGGGTATGTACCTGCTGCACCAGTCTTTGCCGCCAAGCAGCTGGCCGGCTGCAGCGGGATCCTTTGTCCCGCAGTTAGGAGGGTCCAGGACAGAGCGAGTAAGGGTCGTGTACCTCTCTGAGGGAAGGGCCCGGGGCCCCGCGAGGCCCGGGGTGAATGCGGTGTGGGGGTGGGGAATCCTGCAGAGACTGAGCGCTGGAGTTCCTTGGAGCTCCGCAGACTCACTGAACCTTGTCCCCGACCGAGACCCGGACTGGGACCCTAGTGGCTCTGGGCCTAGGCTTCAGTGGGAGGTAGCTTCGTGGTTCCACATGGCTGGAAAGAGGAGAGGGGGAATGCTAGAGGCAGGAATATGGTCCCCACTCGTCTCTCCAGGGACAAGTGGCCAGGGACCATAGGAGAGGTTCTGGACGCAGATGCAGGCTGGATAAGCTCCCCAGCGACCTCAGACTCTAGAGTACTGCTTCCATTAGAGGTTAAAGGTCCAAGATAGATGTAGACTCTAGGTTTGGAATAGAGCCTTCGAGGGAGGGGTAGAGAGGCCAGGGAAGACTGTGTGTACCCTCTAGGAGGCTGCATCCAGCCTTGTGTGAGTGGAGCCCACCTCACATCTGTGTGAGTCATTAGGGGCGCTGCTTTTCTCTCTGGCCTTCTCTGGCACTATTTAATCAATGAGTTGATGACTGCAGCAGAAGAGACTAAGACACTAGACTTAAGGAACTTTGGCGAGTAGGACCGTGATTAAAGTTGGCTCTCCCTTTTTGGTATTCTCAGAATACATCAGATTGCTATTAGACACCGTTTCTCTGGCGTCATCTCCTTCTACAGCCCCCCCCCCCCAGCTCCATACACTTCCAAGACAGAAATTTCCTCTTGTCAGTCGCTTCCTATCTCCCTCCTTTCCCTTAGCTCCCTCCCATCTTTTCCTCAGACGCTACATCTGCAGTGGAGTCTTCCCTCTGGGCTTGATACCTCAGAGAATGGAGGGCCAGAACACATCCACAGAGTTCTGCACTACTACCTGTCCACCGCAGAGATGCTGGGGGGTGGGAGGGGTGTTGTTGTGTGTACCTATTGGGGGAGATGCTGGTATTGACGCTGGGGGCAGGGCAGGGTTATTGTGTGCACATGTTGGGGGAGACACTGGTATTCTGACTCCCAAAAGATTCCCTGAGGTGAATGAAGAAGCCTGGGCAAGAGGCAGGGCACCAGATGAATCAGTAACCTACCCTAACATGAATTTGAGTTGTACAAACTGCCCTGGCCCCAAGGAGCCTTAACTTGGTTAATGTATCCGTCACAAGTCCTAAGAAATCCTGAGACCAAGATAGGACAAGAGATGCAGGCAGACAGGGAGCTAGATCACTCCAGGAGAAAGTGGCTCAGCTGGCTCCAGGGCCTCGGGGATTTAGGTGAGCACCAGGTCTACAGAGACATAGTGTTCAGGCCAGGGCAGCAGACCTTCCAGCTCCCAGCCTGCACTTTGTCCTCCACCTAGGATCCCATCCTCCGACCAAAGCAATGCTGGATCTTTCATCTGAGGTTTTATGGGAAAAATGCAAGTGGGCAGAGTATGCTGGGCTCCCTTTCCCATCTTACCCTTTCCCCTGCCTTCTGCCAGCTCTGGTGTCTCTAGCTCCCGGGGTTCCCTGAGCTTCACCAGTTGAGACTCAGAGTTCACTCTGCCATTTGCACAGACCTTCCCATTGGGCAGGGAATGGGCAAGGAATTGCATCAGAAATCTTGATGAATCAGACTCTGACTTGGAAAGATCTATGCTGAAACTTCTCAGCTAAAAGCAAATTCCCCACTTTCTCTAAAAGCCCTAAGGATCAACGGTCTGCTTTCTTTCTCAATGTACTGCCTATATGCCCATACACTCGAATAGTCACCAGCAGGCCTATCCTCTGGTCATTTTCCTTGTGGAGGTGAATGAACTTTATACATAGCCCAGTTGCAGAGGGCAAAGTGTGCAGCAGAAATCTAAGAGTGTTCTAGACTATGCAGGAACCTGAAAGCTGGCCTAAGCTGCCTGGTGCTGCAGGCTGGCAGCCAGGAGCGGTTGTTCCCAGCCTACCTATGGCCCTAGTTGGATGTTCCCTTTACCAATAACTCTGGAGATGTTCTGTGATCCACCTACCTTTGAAGTTAGCTTTTGCAGCCCAGAGAATGTTTTTTTTTTCCTGTGTGTGCTGGCAAATGAAATGCACATTTCTCTAAAAGAGTCCCATTTTTTTCATCTGAAGAACCAGACATTCCCTGGCTTCTTCTAGACAGGAGAAAGAAATACTATATTTTACATTTGTGGAAGAAGCACACCACCCTAAACAACTGCTGGGATGGTTTTCCAATCCTCGTATGCTTCATACTTTAACCTTTTCTCTCTTGATGTTTTGAGACAGGATCCAGCTATATTGCCCAGGTTGGCCTCAAATTAGTGACAGTCCTCCTATATCAGCATCCTGATACAGCGCCACCATACTTAGAATGCACATGGAGTGTCTTAAAGTCCAAATCTAACAGTTGTAGAGCCCTTGCCTTCTAGATGTCTCCAGAAGTTCTGTTCTCCTCTCATTGTGACAGGGTCAAGTGGGGCTGGTAGTTCTAGTGTGCCTCATCCCTTCAAGCTCCGTGCAAAAGCTGCATTTTCTATTCTTACTTACTGCTCGAACATGACTTCTTGGCTCACTGAACTGGGGAGGGGAGGGGAGGGGGTTGAGATATGAGGCTGTAAATGATTAGGACTGACCCTGGGCCTTGAGATCAGACCAAGCTCGTTTAGGGTTGTCTTGAGTTGGGTTTAGCATGGTAAGAAGACCCAACTGAGCTCATCATCACCCCCGCAGGTTGAATTTAGGAAGAGGAACCTCTAATATGAGCTCTTAGGCAATGTGGTCAGAGCTGAGGCAGTTAGGCATCCAGTCCAGACCCTGCAGGCTGAAATTACACCTCATCCCTCAACTCTCTGGGGCACTGAACTCCTTCCCCACGACATCCACACAGATCTCTGCTCTCACTAGTTGCACATATAAATTGGGGCAGAGAATAGAAAGGGGAGACTATCTGACTGTTCCTCCCCTCCAGCACACCAACTTCTAGTTCTCCATTCAAGGGGACCATGGATAGAAAGGTATTGTGACCATCTGCAATAATAATAATAACAATAATAACTGAATTAGCGCCAAATCTCTTCTCACCACAGCATTCTACATTAGCCTCCAATTTATCTCTGAATCCTCTAATGACGGTGGAAGCAGGCGCCCAGTCATAAACCTTGGTGCGGCCATAATTAGCCCAGCATTGTCTCTCCTCATCACGGTTTTTTCAGGAGCATTAATTCTTTCTCTGTTTGGACTCTGCTAATTATCCCCATCGGTAGCTCGGCCCAGCTCTCTAAAGGAGAAAAGGAAGCAATGGCCCCCTGCTCCTCCTCCCCCGACTCTGAATTTAATTACACTCACTTCTCCTAATAAATTTACAAGCCATGGCAGGGCTTATTATTAATGGACCATGTCTGTTAGCCCCAGTAAGGACCAGCCACTGTTTTCTCAATACGCCACAAACACACACACACACACACACACACACACACACACACACACACACACACTCCGCGGGGATATCACTGGATGGGACTTTTCAGGAGCCACTGGCTATTTGTCTGGTAGTTCATGGTAACCTGAAGACATGCACTTCTCAGAGAAGAAAAATCAGAGTGGAGGCTAGTTACAGTCCAAGACTGCAGGGATATGTCCAGGTTTAAAAGATCAGACCAAAGAGCAGAGAACACCGTCACCTTCTCCAGGTTCCAGGTAAGAAATGCCTCCCTGGCTTCGCTGTGCAGCTTAGAGTCTGCAGCGCTTCAGACCCACCTCTGATCCCCGGGGAGGCCTGGTTCAAGAGCCTGGGCTTCAGTATCTGAAAGCCCTACATTCAAATCCCTGCTCTTCTGCTTAACACACTGCATCCCTCGAGCAAGTGACTAGTTATCACCTCTATACTTTGTTTATCTGTGAGAAGTGAATATGAATTTCTTCAGGAGGCTGTAAAGATTAAATGAGATGCTATAAAACACACAATGCCTGCTGCATAGAAATGAACAGTAACGACTAGCATTAATATTAATATGAATGGCTCTGCTTGGAGTCTCTTCC